GCGGCGGCGGCGGCGGCGGCGGTGGCGGGCGCGGCGGCTGCGGCGGCGGAAGTTCCGGTGGCGGCGGCGGCGGCGGCTACGGCGGCGGCTCCTCCGGCGGAGGCCACAAGTCCTCTTCCGGGTCCGGTGGAGACTCTTCATCTAAGGGACCAAGGTCAGCCGAAACTAGCTGGGGTAATAAGAATTTGTCTTAACTTTCTGTAATGGTTTTGTTGCTTTTCAAGCCCTAGAAGCTGTTTGAAAAAATTAAAATCTTAGACAAGGTTACCACTTGCATTTTTTAACGAACTGTATACTCTTGATACCCATCTTGAAGGGAAAATGGCATGATCTAAAATGCTATCACTTAAACATTGCTCGGATTTTTTTTTTAAGCAACGTAAAAAAGTTAATTTTTTTTAAATTTAGTGTATATTTCTTTTAGAAATTTTGCTTGTTAATTAGTTGCGGGGGGGGGGCCACAAATTGCTTAGTCGAAATTCTAATTTTTTGTGTGTATGATTTACATACAGATACTAACAAAGCCAGAGTAATCAAGACAATTATTGAAGAAGTGGCACCTGATGGTAGAGTCCTTTCCTCTATGGTTGAATCAGAAACCAAGCAACACTACTATTGAGCCACATCAAGAGAAAAGTCTCCCCTCGTATAGGCCATTTTATACAGATGCATGAAAAACAAAATCTCCAGGAAAACTTCAGTCTGAATGGTCTATGGAAATAGGTTCACTCCTTCAATAAGATATCTAAAAGGTGTTTTGTGATTTCTATATTTCTTCTTTACACTTTACCAGAATGTGTTCTTTAATAGAAAAAGTAAAAACTTTCTTTCTCATTTACTAATGGATTTCAATAAACTTTCTTACTGATGCAAACTATACAATTTGGTCGGAATTTTCTTTATTTAAATTAGATAATGTTTTCTGGGGTTTTTTTAAAAGATTTTATTGGGGAATCGGGGAAGGGGAACAGACAAGTTGCTGTCCTTTGGTTCTTCAGTCTAGTTGTGGAGGACATTGCTTCACTGGCCCTTGTTGGTATTATGATCATTTTGCTCTTCCCGACTGAGGCAGTCACTCGCCGGCCATTGGACGGCCACTCATAGCGGCTTACAACAGCCCACTGCAGCCTACACCGTTGCCAGCGACTCACAGCAGCCCAGCTCCAGGTCGAGCTGTTGTTCACCATCTTAGATGTAGAGGGCACAGTGTCACGGGCCCATATGGGAACCAAACCAGCAGCCCTGCTGCTCAGAGCTCATACTCCTAAGCCAACTCTTAACCAACTGTGCCACTCAGCTGGCCCTACATATTGTTTTTAACCTTAAAGGCTAGTGAACTATAGCATTTGAATATTGATTTATCCAGAACTTCTGAATACAGAATTATTGTCATTATGATTTCTTTGAGTACATTTTTTAATCTTGTGGGTATGTTGGACCAATGTCAGTAACCTCACTGAGTAAAAAGTCCATGAATCCCCAATCTTACTCTTTCTTAAAGATATACAATATGCAGAAAACTCCCAGCTTCAAATTATTTTACGCCTGCAAATCCTGAAATATCTCAAGACGCCAAAAATAAATTGGAAATTTCACATTTTCTGATTACTTCTCACATTTACCTGCCCATATTTTCTTCCCATTACTATATTATTTCTGCTTAAGAGATATCTTCCAACGCTTTCTAGCCCAGTAAAATCATATCACCCCCACATAATTATTTGGTGTCTTATCAAATGAACAGGAGAAGCGCTTTCAAGACATGGTGATGCCAATATGACCAAAAGGACACCTCTAGGTTTCTGCTTGTGCCAACCCTAACCAGTGATCAGCACTAAAGATCTGGTACTCGTAGGGTCAACCCCAGCACATCCTTCAGCCAGTAAGAACCCAGCTGACATTACTTCGTACTCTGCTAGTATATGGGGTAGGTAAGGGCTGGAGTTATTTTGTGCCCCGAAGACAACCTTGTGTTCCCTGGTGGGTTCCTGGATTACCCATATCCACCAGATAGCACCCCTCAATATCCCTCCTGATTGGAGTTCCAGTTTTCCCCAGGACCTGAATCCTGGTACCCAGGCCATTTGCTTGGGACCCCTGCTAAGTAAGCCCTATCGTCTATACCCCAAATTGATGACTAAAGCTCTATTTCAATGTGAATGGATTTCCCGACAGTCAGGCTTCCATGACCTACCTGGCACCAAATATTACCATAGTTCAGAGACTCTCCACTTTAGTTCACATGTCCTTTCGTATATGCACCAGCCACTCTATGGGTGGGCCAGTCTTCTAAGGTTCTCTGTTGAAGTCTCAACATGCCACATTGTAAAGCCCTGAAACACATGTTGCTGGGTAAGGACACTTTGAGCACCGGCTGTGTGTATACTGACTGCTGTTCAAAAACATTATCTTTTAAAAATTTATTATTTAGCCAAGTTAACCAAGTCCCTGGCACCTAAGGTATTCTTCCATAATCTGAGATGTCTATTCTCCTTATTCTGAAGAAATAAATGTTTTCATAGTAACACTAATTTGAGACATATAAATATGTTTTTATAGGTAGTTCTGTTTGCTATTAAGCTTTGTCTCTTCTACCCATTTATAAGCCAGGTTCTCAGCTTGTCAGAGTTCTTTTTCTGGTTGGGTGGTAAGTCAAACCCTCATATCTGAAAGGTCAATCATGGTGGTCCTGTCTTCTTACCTTTTCAATCTTCCACTATATCCTTAAACAATTATTTATATTAAATCTCCTCTGATAAAGAACTACTTTCCTGATGGATGTTAACTTATTGTAATTGTTTTACAATATATGTGTGTCAAATCATTATACTGTACACCTTAAATTTGTACAATGCTTTATGTCAGTATATTTCAATAAAACTGAAAAACAGAACTACTGTTTTGACTGGACTCTGAAACTGCAGTTTAATAAAGACAATGTGTCTAAACAATTTGATTTTAATAAGAACATTAGTATTTACAGTAAAATCTTGTTAACTGTACAGGTCACTATTTCTAATACATAGATGTATCATGTAGCCATTAATCAAAAATTCTTGTACATATTCTTACTGATTCTAAACTTGTTACAAAGTCCTGCTATTTAAGCAAGACAGTGTCCAATGACAATAGCAGGGCCAATTGTGTGCACTCATGTGGAATCCTATTAAACAGTAAAAGCTTGCTTCTCCAGAGATTTTGCCTTATGCTGCTATAGGTCTTAAAGCTTTGTACCCTGACCTTGATGTTCATGGTGACTTGAGTTTTTGCTTGGGCATGGAGAAATAACTGTTACAGTCAGCTTTATAGAGCAAATAGCTTGCGTGAGGTCCATTCAGTATTTACCATCCAGATTGCATCTTGAGAGTGGGAATTAGGGAAAGGGCTCATTTGTAGTTATAAGCATGCATTTCAATATCATGATCCCTGGACTTCATATCCTGGCACTAGCATTTACAAATCATATACTTCCAGATGAGTTACTTAAGCCCTTCTGAGTCTGTTTTCTTTTCTATACAATAGAGATAACTATCTCCTATGAGATTTTTGTGGGGATAAAATGAGTTAATACCTATCAAGCCCTTAGAAAAATGCCTACCACTGAGTAGGTACTGAAGCAATAGTATTCATCTTCAAAGAAATATGCTTACAGTTAAATAAACTAGTTTCCCCAAAGATGAATATGAGCATCACAATAACTTGTTAGAGTAGGTGATCATTAACATCCTCTGCCAAGGGGTAGAGAACCAGGCCAGGTTGCTGTCGTAGGGCAGCAAAACTAAATTCCAGACAGCAGGGATAATGGTGAAAGTGTCACAAAGGATTATGGTTAATCTTAGTCCTGTGAACCTGAGGTCCAATAATACAGAGCAAGAGGTTTGTGGAAATAGAAGGACCAGATGATTGCCCCAAAGGTTTGAGATAGTTGACCATCCCTAAAACATATAGCTGTGGTCGCCTAATCATGGTGCAGACTATCCAAGCTGTGCCACTGTGTAACAAGGAGAGACAAGTTATCACAAAAGAAATTCAGTCTTGAAAACGGGTATAAAGAATATTTCTTTTTTGAACCAGGTTGTCCCACAGAAAGCATGCCAAAGGAGGAAGGACTCTGAGTTGTCACATTCACCCTCAGTGTCTTTAGATAAAAATACAACACCATCACATCTCAACACTGAATAGATCTTTCCAGCCTACTACCAGTTAGAAAAGGAAGGAATTATTGTTAATTGGTATAAATCAGATAAGACCTTAGGGAAGGATTTGGGTAGTGTTGTGAAAATTTTGTCCTTCAGGATTTTAGCGAAGAAAAAACCACATACTTAAGGGCATTTCTTCTTTTTTTTTTTTTTTTTTTGCTGAGCCATCCTGCCACCTGTTGGCAGCTCAGCGGCTGCTCAGCTCGGGCTGGACTCGAACCGCTGTTGCTCAGA